CACTGCCAAGTAATATTGACATTCGATCGGCTCCAGCCGCGACGATAATGCCGTAACATGTGTCTCCGTAATTTACACGCCTTCACCACCTGTTTTAATAATACTCCGATCGATTTTCCAGTCTTGATGACATACAACTTTAATAAAATTAACATTAACATAATACCCCGACAAATGGTTTACAGCGGTCTATTTAAAACCTTCAGTCTCTTTAAACGCTCCACTCGTCATAATCTGCGTAATTAATCCAATCCAAAAAAAAAAAAAAAATTAGAAATTCGACTGCATTATTCATTAATTCATAAACAAATGATATTTTCAACAAATTGAATTATCCGAGTATTGCAGTAATTCTCCAGAAAATCGGGAACTCTGAAATTCAGGGATGGATTTTTGAAAAATTTTATAGATTCATTCATCGATATTTCCGTGGAATGATTTGACTGGAATTATTATTTATTATTCGTTAAACAAACATTTTTATTATTGAAAATTCCCAAGACGTAGATTTTTCCCGTGAATTCCGCCACTGAGGCACCCAAAACCTATCTTATCTCCTTATAAACCCGATAGACAAAAAAATAAACCAAAAACTGCTGATAAAACCCGAATGAACTCTTCTGACGTGTAAGCGGTGTCAATTAACGCTTACACGATTTCATCCTGCTTTTAACGTTATGTCTGCACATGTGTACACCGTCGTAAATGTTTTATATAGCTGGAGCTATCACCGCTGACTAAAGAGCTAACGATCAAAAAGTCCGTTGACAATTTGTTCAAATCTCTCTCCGTCGTTTATTTATCTCCACTCCTCTATTTTCGCTCGATTAATCCTGGTAAAAAAAATACACGCCGACATTTTCGTTGATTTGAAAAATAAACGATAGGGAATAGCTTTTGTTCCGTCAGACGGGGGTTGGATGGTACGTCGGACATGCATCAGGGGGGAAATTCAAAAATCTAGGGGTCAGCGACAACTGACACACGTGAATATAAAAATGTTGAATTGCATACTGTTAGAAAAAAAATGAAATTTCATAGGCACCTGTCCGCCATTTTTTTTTTCCACTGACACATTTTTCACTGTTCCCTCGATGATTATTTAACCTTATAACAGTACGTGAATGGAGTACAGGTCCAATTACCTTGGCGTATTATACGGATATATGCATTGATACCGAATGGGTTTATGTACACCGGATGGAAGACTACCGACCGGATGTCTCGTAACTAGTGTGATTAATTAAAGTCCGTCGTTTTCTGTTCGTCTGAGTATTTTTTATTCTCTTCTTCGTTTTTTCCAGGGTTTGCTTTCAGTGTTGCTGTACTCGATTGCATGCAATTACCGTCTGGACCGTTTGTTGCGCAATTAGGGAATACAATTGCTTCCTCTGGATGTATGAGGCCATTGCAGGCACTTGAGATTATGCCGGTTTTTTGACGAAATTTTTCTCGATTTCCCAGAGATCTCTGGCTCTTTTTTTTCCAATTCGGGGAATGGGAAACAGGTAGAATGGATGGACTCGATTGTCTGTTTTTTTTTTTTTGGTTTTATTGAGTTTTGAGGTTTCGATTGCGGAAAAGCTTTCGGGAATTTTTCGATAGCCCAAATTTTTATGATATCGGCGGTTTCTGGTTTTCATTCTGCGCAGATGAGCGAATTTTTTTCGTGCAGGATATATATATTTGCATGATGAAAGTGCAGTCCTGTTGATTATTCCATTAAATTAATAGAAAAAAATTGTTCGCAATTACATTGCTATTCCATAAAAGTTATGAAATTAAATGTAAATATTTATTGTTTGCTAGATAAATTCAACTCTGCAATTTCACGTTTCGTAATTATATAAAAATATCTTCGAATAGGCAGACACGAGAATTTTTATAGAATTATTTTCGCCAGCTGTCAATGACCTCTACAAAACGAATTACCATAATCCTCAAAATTACTGGATATCCGGTGATGAGAATTAATTCGAACCGTTTTTGGTGGAAGAGTTGCTGAGGAAAATTCAATTATCCGTTCAATTTGAGCTGCAGTACTCTACTGACATGTTATTATTTACCGAATAGATTGTCACGGCATTGCACGGTGTCTGAAGAGACATGTTCCGCCATAATTCATAGAATTGGCCATCGAGTTTTACGTCACAGTGACAAGGTGTCACACATTACACCGGGTGATAAAAATTTACGACTATTATATTGCCTAGTCTCGACAGCACATCTGTTGTCAGTTACCCGTAGCCGTGTAATCACCCGTGGATATTTTCGCAAAACTCTGTAATTAAACATTGTGCAAATACGTAATGTATCATGCAACGCATTGTTTGTGATCCGCAATAATCGTGAAATATAAGTCCTCGGTTATTTTATTCTCGAATCAATATTTATGAGGATTCAGGGGGGTATCATGTCCCTTTATCTACGGCAAATTTATTCCACACTCGAATTGACGAATAAATTCACCGTAACCTTGAACGACATATGAAAACGAAGAGGGGAACATAAACGACAGATTTGCGGAATAAATGGAGATTACGATCCGTTTTCTTCTATTTACTATCTGCATCGAGAACAATCGTTTTTTCATCAGTCGAATCAAATTTTATTGAAGAGTTACAAAATATATTTGCATTCAAATTAAAAATGGAGAAAACAATTTCGAACGAGATTGAGGAATTGTTTATTGCTTAGGATTGCAGTGAATAAATTATTTTATCGTATTTATTATTCAAATTTGATGGGGATACTTTTTTTTTTCTGATTCCGCACATAATTTTTCTGGATATACCAGTGATTGGGATTTTTGCCTAGTCAGGCAAGGGAATCGAGTAGTAATGTACTCCATGTGCTCGGACATGTTCAACATTCTCCTCTGAGTGGTTCCGACTATAAAATAAAGAATAACGAAGGACGTTTTACATAATGGATGTACATAATGAAAAAAATGAGAGGATCCGAGAACGAAAAATATGTGCAACCGGATGCTAGTCCTCATTGTTATAAATTCACGGTAGGAATCATCCTCAAAACATCTCGAAAAAACCAAAAAAAAAAAACAATCATAAACCGTAAAAATCTATTTCCATTACAAACAAAAAAACGAGGTGTTCTGCTGAAATTCGCAAGTGAAAATGAAAAAACTACAATTTTTGATATGTTATTATTATTATTTTTTTTTTCATTGATAGTATTTTTTTTTCACAGTGGTAATGGGCGTGTGAGTGCACACATCCGCCAGCTGATGGGAAAAAAAACCTTGCCAATTTTTCAAGATCACAATCATTACGTCTTTCCATTCATAAAATCCACAACTTCCGTTTCGGTGGGATATTGTTCTTCTCCCGCGTCATCCTCAACACTTCCGCAGACAGAGTGACCACTTTGGTGTCATAATCGATGTTGGACGTTTGTTTGATGGAATTAATGTTTCTTGGTTGTATCCCTCATCTGTATTCAATGACTGCAACAACTCGGCGCACGCCAGTGCGACAAGCTGGAGCCCCTCATGCTTATTATTGTTTACGTAATGCTTGCGTAACACGTGTATAATTCACTCTCCCTCACGTTTCGCCCCCTTGCACAGTCAGAAAAGTTGCAAGTACTTTATAACAATTATTTACCATTTTTTTGGTACTTAAACGACACGACGGCATTGTCAATTTAATTGCGCAATTCCATGAACTCTACGCGTAAAAAAACGGAAATTCAATAGATTAAAAAACTCGATTTTTCAACTTTTTTATCAAGTGTAATAATTCTTGTTTGTAATACCCAGTTAACGGTTTTTTCTAAACCAAAACATCAATTTTAATTATTATTATTTTTCATTTTTATTATCATGGAGAATCATCATTATTACTATTGCATGGAATTAGTAAATTATAATTATAAATTATTATTAATTATTGCATTTTCATCAAGTTTTGGGAGAAAAATCTGAATTCACATCAATCAGGTGAAATAAAATTTCGAATACTCCTAGTTCCGCCCACAATTTGAAGAGCAATTTTTTTTTCTGTTATTTCCCCGACAATAATCCTCATGCAAAAGAGGAAACGAGGTCACGGCTCGGAATTTCCCCAAATATTGTCCCCGACTAGACCTCGACAATCTCCATCGTGGATTCACATCGTTGCCAAGAGTTTCCTCGGTGCAAATTCGAGGAATTTTTTTAAATCTTTATGTCACTCCATACGTACTCCATTAAATTTAGAAGGAAATAATCGGATGATATAAACATGGATGAACATTGGAATACCTCTTCGGAGTTATTTGCTATTTTAAAAAGGTCAGTTGGCATCATCCATTGAGGCACGATATTGTGTTTGGGAAGGTGGATTAATGGCGACTGGAGCTGGATTTCTCGGTATTAAGATGAGTTTTGTATTTGCACCGGCTCCTGGAAGCCGAGAGTGGCTCAAGGCAAAAGCGTGATTTAATGCCGCGTCTTAGTCGTTATGGGGGTAAAGGGGGGGAATTATTAACGACAGGACGTTCATTCCTTGCAATAAGGCGCCATTTTGCAGAGGTTTATATAGGTATGTACAATGTTATATTGACAGCACCCGCACTGGGTGGAGATGGGGAAATGAGGAGGTCGAAGCTCTCGAGCGAGACGCGATAAATCGTTAAGCAGCTCCAAGGCGTTAATATCGATAACGTCTCCGGTGCATTCGTTGCATATTAAATTGACATTGCGTTTTAATCAGTGCTAACTGCTGTTTAATGAGCAGATGTTATCGCTGATCCGTCGTGGTGACAGGAGAGGATTCTTATGTTCGTTGAGGACAGATGGGTATTTCATGGACACTTTAGGTGTCATTCTCAGGGATCCGACCTTGAATTCTGAGATTTATGGATTTTGTCGTAGAGTGGAAATTCTCCGGGATTTTTACGGAAATTTCTGACAGGCATTTCTGACGGGCTTCATTCTTGTGAGATGGTGAATTCGGGAAAAATTATTGGTTTTTTCAATGGATCCATATTTTTTTCAGGCCGAGGATCTTTTGGACGATATTTTGTCCTTCGAGGCGGGCTCACTGGGAGGTGGACTGAAAGAGGGACAGGCTGGAAGTCTCTCAAGCCTACCTGATCTTGAGATAAAGCCAGAACCACTCCTCCTCACTGACGCGGAAATTCATGCACTTGCCAAAGATCGTCAGAAGAAGGATAACCATAATATGAGTGAGTTTATCCGCTTATCATGAGTTTTTTTATTCACCAGTTCATCACCCTATTAATTAATTAATGTCCCCATAATGACGAAACAGAAGTCTCTAGAATAAAATTCCAGGGATTCAAAATATTTCTTTATACACAGTTTACCATTTTTTTGGTAATTTTTATTCATAAAAATTAATTTTTAATTTGGACATCTCGGAAAATTGGAGATCGGTAATGGAAAGTTCGTGAAATAACTTTTTCATTCTTGAACTGTGACAGAGAGTCTCGTCGGAATTTTTTCCAAAACCAGAAAATAGTAAATAGAAAGGATGAGAATAGTTTCGGTTTTTCCAAACTCGTGAACGTGCGAAAGCGATAAAGTTGGCAGTACGATAGGACCGAAACTGGAATGAAGTGGAGCACTGGTGCTGTTTGAAATGGAAGAGGAGAGAAAGGATCGGAGAGGGATAGGAGGGACAAGAGGGGATGGAGATAACGTTATGGAGGGAAAAATAGTAAAAATCAGGCGTTCAGAATGTACGAGGGACAAAATAAAATTGTAATTTTGGCGAGCCATCTGCTCTCTGCTTCCATTTCTCCCTCCTTATTCGCGTTTATTTCATATATTTTTTTGTTCATCCCCTGGCCTGCATTCGCATCTCGGGCCAATCTTCGTGCCGCATTTCCTCCCTTCCGCCTCTTTCTAAATATATGGGGCCAACACACACGTGCACTTAAATTTTTGGCCCCTTTGGTCACTCGAGGAGTAAACCGGGTATTGGTCGGTGAAGATTGATTTTTTTTTTTAAATTCCTGACCTCACACCGTAAAAGACCGCACGTTTTTAACGCGTGACTCTGTCACGTACGTGAGCCGATTTTTATTGTCCCATCGGACTCATTTCCATCCGCCGTTTCGTGCTTTTCCATTTGGAAGTGCTGGTTGGAATTTCTGATTGTTGTGCTGCTTATTTAATCGAACGGTCATATAATCAACGGTCATTTAAGGCTAATTTCATGATGATCTTAACCTATTTCGAGTGAAAGAAAAATTTTAGTAGCGAAAAGGTGAAGAATAAAAAAATCGACTTATTCCCCTGGTGAGTTTACGAGCCGTATCTCTGAATCTAAATAAGATAGCGATTTTTTTTCTGGAACCTTTTTTGTAGAGAGGAATAGTGGCTGCAAAAAAGTCTTGACACAATTTTCGCTAGCTCCCTTAGATTCACAGATAATCCGTAACAACTTTCCTCAAAATACGTAAGTTTTATGCCCTATAAATCTTTATTCGTAGGGTTTTATTTTTTTTTCACTATTAATTGAGTTAATGAATTTTCCTGGAGAGAAATCTCTTTTTCCCGGTGCTGTGATTTTTTTGTAATTATTGTACAGCTGCTGGAGTTCGTTTGATCCTCCATTTTGAAGGAAGTGAATGCAGCACTCATTGGCTTCCTTGAAGCGTCCACTCCAGGATTTTCAAACGAAATTGACGAGAACAAACTTTCGATATTCTTTTGCGAGATCGAGCTCGTAGATTTCCCTCCTTACGTTCTCTTTGTCTTTCCTGAGAGTTAACCATCGAAATCTAATCAACAAGATCAGTGCCGGGGATTCCCGTGGCACGCCCGTCAACTTTCTTGCTCAGTTGTAGCTCTCGAGAAACTTTTCCACCTTGGAATTTACAGGAATCGTGACAACATCCCAGTTCTTTCATTCTGTTTTATGTTCTAACTCTTCCTTGGCCCTCTCACTCCCCCTCGTTCCTTTTTTTTTCCCGCCTGTTTCCTTGACTCCCAAGTTCTCCATATCCACTTGCTAATTTTCCTCTGTCGCTCGGAACCAAAGTAAACACCTGTTGTTGACGGTTTTGCGTGCCTCGGTATGAATGCATTTTAATGGAAATTCTATTGGAATTTTTTTCTCTCAAAACTCACAATGTCGATTTAATTATGGACCACGAATTCCTATTAACATAATACCGGAATGATTCGGTTTTTCGCTCAACATTGTTCGCTATAGGTTTTCCTTCGGATAATTCTTTCTGGTGAGAAAAAAACTCCACGTATGATGCATTTCCATAAAAAAATCCACAATTTTCCATTTTTTTTTGTCGCCAATTCTTTTCAATAAACAAAAGTCCACAGATTTAAATCTGCCTGTTCCCATTTTTTTTTCCATTAAAACTACATGAAGAATAATAATAATAATGACCAGGAAGTTTAAAAAAAATTTCGATCAAAAAGTAATTAATTGATCGAATTTTAAGGGAACAATTTCTGCTACAAAATTCCCATAAATAAATTTCATTGACGCCCCTGATATTTTTCCTTCAATTCGATTAAACTTTTCCCTCAAACTTTCCCCTAATTCCAAATACGACACACTGATAGATACAGGAAGTACATGAGAGTACGTAGAATCGAAGGGCGATATCAGTGACGGGCGAGCATCGGTGGCCTTATCTCAAACTCGTAATGCTCACAGTTGCGTTGAGTTTACGACTGTGTTATTGGTCGTGTTAATATCAGTGTTAATCGCTGGCCCGTTGATCATACTCAGCTCCAACAATCGTTAAATCAGGGAATAAAGTGAGCTCTCAAGTTCCCCACGTGGCAAAATCACCCCAAAGTTGTTAAAAAGTTGATGAAATTTCTGCCGACAATCTTTACGAGTTAAAAATTCTCAGTCCGATCTTCTATCTTTATCTCCTCACACAAAGAACATTCTCATGGTTACGCGAATGTTTATCGTGTTCATCAGAAGATATGGAGCGGGACTGTCCATAAACAATAATATATGTTGGCAATAAATCCAAGGCATATGCCATGATCATTTATACTTCACCATGATGGATGGTCTATTAAAGATAAAATAAGCATGCAGATACACCTGAAATGTTGAAGTGTAGCGATTCTCAAGAATTAAAAAAATGGCGAGAGGAGCTGATGGCTCTCAAGGCTCAGAAAATATATAAAACCTAGTCATCGCTCAACACAATGAGAGAATTAATCAACACCGACGCAACAAACCTGTCGAAGAAAAAAACTAATTGGAATTTACATTATCGGCTTTTTTCCCTGATAACTTACCGGATGAATGTATTTCATAGCTGTGTAATTTTCGCACCGTTTCGAATGATTAATACGCCTTTTTACGATCCCACACGAACCTCTAATTAATTGATTTATCTAATTATTCATGTTTGGAAATTCTTAGAATTTTAAAGCACGCCTAGAAAAATGATTTATTCGAATCCAACAAGACACATTATTTAAATTTTCATAGTAATCTATTTATATGCTCATTAAATCACGAAAATAGAATGAAATATATAAAAAATGGAAAAAAATATTCTGTGATTGATTCGTCAATAATTTTCTCCTACATTTAAGGTTGTGGGATTTTTCTAAATTTTCTCTTCGAGTAAAATTCAATCTAGTTACCACGAAACCTTATGAAACCTCAATGTTTCGTTACGAATGCAAAAAATCCATAGAAAATCAGATAGAAAATGGTTGGAGTACCCATAACATCTATATTCACCCCCAGTCGTATCGTATACATGGAGTCGAGTTGAGAAATCGAAAAAACTCTCGACAGCAGGTATTGGTGAGGGCACCTGTCGATCCACGTGGAATATGTCCTGGAGGATGGGCTGGAGAAAGAGAGTGCACCGTGAAATCTCACGTTTACGTCGGCTGCTCGTCGACTGATAACGAAGCTATCGTGGCAATGTTGGAGAGTATACGAGGGGAGGACGATAGGTCCTCCTCCTCCCATCGACTTCAGCCCTCTTCACTGCTCTCCAAACGTATATCCGAATATACGTGAGCCGAATAGACATTCCCAATCCATGTCGACGCTGTCGAACGCCAAGTGCCAAGTCCGCCATGGAATTTCCAATGAAAGAAAAAGAAAAAACACCAAAAAATTTATCTGTTTGGGGGATAAAAACTTAAACATACCCTGACATCTATTTCCACACACTCACTCCCACTGGGATCCATCTCCAAAATAGTTCCTGTAATTTCCAACGATTGCATCAATTTCATTCATTGAAATTTTTTTTATCCTCTACATTTACTTTCCGCCATGAATGAATTTATTTTTTTTTTCAGTTGAACGGAGAAGAAGATTCAACATTAATGATCGAATCAAGGAGCTGGGGACATTGCTGCCTAAGACTAATGACCCGTAAGTGTCCGAAAATTATAAAAAAATTTCGTGAAACTTTTGCGCGCTGAGAATGAATAATGAAAAAAATGATTGAATAGTCCTAAAATGATCTCCACTAGTTGATCTCCATCAGTAGTCTCTGGTGTTTATACCCGAAATATATTGAAGAGAGGATGAAAGATAGAGACAGAGAGACAATGCAACGAGTGGCGGAAGAGAGCTTTCCCATAAATTGCATTTTTCAACGTTCGTTACTTCCATTCCTCATCGCTGCACTCGTCCCAATCGGAGAGCTATGCATTCTCTGGACTTCCATCCAGTGATGGTTTCACCAGCAATAGAGGGATTCCCTCAATTTCGTCATTTCTACTTTTTATTTATCCTCCTATCGGTGAACAAAATTTCAATGAGAAACAGAGGGCTAAAGGAGCCGATAGCTCGACATGTGGTACCCACATATGTGAATTTCCTCATCGATTCATCATCATACCGAAAATATTTCATTCCTGCATCCTACATCATCCCCAGGGACTATTATTTTTCCTTCTTCATTCACCTCACCCCGCACTGCGTCAGTATTAAGTTCCGTCGACTGATTCTGCAGGTCAGAGTACCATGCAACCCTCAACTGCGGTTAAGAAATGAAAAGGCTTCCCTGAGAATTCCATTCTTCATTCTTCGTTTCATTCCTCGCTCAGTCTGTGGCTCTCTCGTTTTGTCTCATTTTCTACAGCTCAACCTTTTCTTCGACGTTTTATTTCTTTATTTTTACCAAGTTCTTTTTATCTCTTCCCTTTGTCATTATCTCCGCATACTTGTACCGGGGATCAACACAAAGGATCCGATCCCCCTGTGTGGAGAATCCTGGGGAATCATCAGGGAGCTGCAATAATTGTTGCCCGACTGGTTTCCCAGAGATCTACGAGATTAAATTATATTTTCATTCAATTCTAAAAATTCAATATCCAATTGTTTCGCTGATAAATTTTATCCCGTCACTTTCTCATTTCATTCGTGCACTAAACGTCACTCCAAACCAATGGTAATTACATTGTCACTATCCAAACACTCCTCACGGAGTTCACCTCGAAAATTTGATGAAATCTCTTTGTCAACCCCGAAGTGAGAAAGGGGATTATTCAGTATCATCCTGTCTAACAGAGATAAAAGGTTAAAATAAACGTACAAACATTAATTCTAAACTCAAGTATTCCATTTGACAGTTAAAACTCAAAGTGCATTAACGTTGGACCAGTTGGAGTTGGTAGTAAACAAGATTACGAGACTGGCCCTTTGACATCTCCAGGGCTAGGACACCAGGGAGGCATTTCACATCCCCAACAGACCGCCCCCTCCCCCCCCCCCCCCCCCCCCAACTACAAATGCATTCAGAAGTTAAGTGTAAGGTTGGGAGTCAACCTGTGTGGGCTAACGAGCCGCAGTGAGGGCTTGCACGTTTATACCAGAAGACGCCCGCATGGATCGACCATTTATCAATCTGGCTTGGTTGGAGTACCATTAGTCAGTGTCGACGACCACGAGGACTTAAAAACTCTTACTGATGTATCCCCGACACCTAGAGCAAACCTCCTCTGCATCCCTCCTCTACATCTCTCCTCTCACTTTCTCCTTTTAACCCCTTCGCCCCTCTCTCGACGAGTGCCAGAGTGTATCCCCCAAGGATCAAGGGGTTGATATAGCTTCTGGTATATATATTGTGGTACCTCGTCGTTAGTCGGACGTGACAGGACATGGGGCTCGTAGGGCTCGCCCTGTTATTTATGAGAACAAAGTTGCTGAATTGTTTGTCTTTTTGGGACATTTTTATCTATCCGGTGATTACGCCGGGGGAAATAATTCACGTACAAATTTTTCGGGGTTTTCTTGTTTCGTTTGATTGGATTTCATTAGTCCGGGGAGTTTACTCATCCTCAAGCCTTGGCGAGGCTCGGTCCTGAATCTCGGATTTTTGGGGGAGAAACATGAATTTCTTCCAAAATACAATTTCTTCATTAATCAACGGTTGATTTCACATGCGAATGTATCCGCTCCTTGGATGATGATAAAACTATCAAGACGTTGAAATTATTTTTGACAAAGCTCAACCATAAAACCAAAATCGAATTAAAAGAATCAAGCGTTCCATTTTTCTGGCGCATCTCCACCTCTCTCTCCCCATTTAATCTCATTTTCCTCGATGCCTCGGGAAAAAAGAACTGGAAAAGAAATTTAATGTCGTGCAGATATTCCTTACCATTCCCTTTAATCTCCAAGTTTACGATAATAAATGAGTGAAGCATCCGCTGAGGGAAAAAGAATTTCAAATCTACGTGAAATATCAGAAGTAATACAGTCTCCCGGTAGAGTTCCAAGTACTCCCGGGAATCCCCTGTTTGTTCCACCTTTTACAAGATAGGGAGAATATTAAAGACGCTGGGTGTGTGGAAGTACAATTGTTTAAAGCCCCGATAATAAAGTCCCGGGATATCTCAAAGACCCATTTAAACGTAACACTGATACCACTGCACTGCTGTATCAGCCAAGATTCCACACACCCATTCTTTTTTCTCTATTTCACGTGCATATCTACATCTCACGTGTCTCAAGAACGTATTACTTTTCTCTATTGGAGTCGGTGTGTGTTACCTTTATTTTATCAGTGTTTCATTTTTTTTTTCAATGGTGACACGTGTGAAAGATACGGAATATTCCAACAGCGATAAAAACTCGACGCTTTTGTTACGTCCTTCTTTCATTCCCAGCACTTCAGTATTTATCATAATATTTGTGACATCTTTTCTCTGGATCTTCACATTTTAATTAAGATTTGTCTTCTCTTTTTTTCCCCTCAGGTATTACGAAATAGTGAGAGACGTAAGACCAAACAAGGGGACAATATTAAAGTCCTCGGTGGAGTACATAAAATTACTGAAAAATGAGCTCACACGGATGAAACAGAGTGAAACAAGGCATAAACAGCTGGAGCATCAGAATCGTAGGCTGTTATTACGTGTACAGGAGCTTGAGCTTCAAGCAAAAGCTCATGGTCTTCCGGTTACGGATCCAAGCTGGGCATCAACGTCAGCCATTGCTGTCAACTCATTCTCGAGGACTAAGCACGACCGAAGAAAGGTAAGAATTTGTTTCTCCGTTCTTCATTCACCATTTTTTACTGCTCTCTTTTCTTTTTAAACTCGGATTTTCCTTATCCTGGGCTCTGTACGGAGACGGCATTTGGAATAATGTCGGGGTATTTGCGGGTGGAATGAAGAGAAAGTTGTGCATGGAAGTGAGAGAAGGGGATTATTCACCCTCTTGCATCGACGAAAGTTAATTTCAACTTTTGTCAAGGAAAAGAAAATTGAAAGAGAAACAAAAAGTCTTGTTTTCATGATTATTGTTATCGTGTTTAAGGATGAAAATTATTCTGTAAAGAAGTTTCTCGGAATGCAATAACGAGTGCCTTCTCATTAGCATTTTTTTGCCTTCTGTAATATGATATTCCTTTTTTTTTCAACGTCAAAGTTATTTCTGAGGTGGTATTCGTTCTCTGGTATTTCCCTTGCCATTCGTCATCCCTTATCAACAGTTTCTTAACCGAGCATGAAATTAACAGTGAAGATGTACATTTAAATGCAGACCAGTTCATTTGAAACCCGGCAAACGGGTATTACCGGGTTCAGTTATTCATCCTGGCAGTTTTGAAATACCAAGAATTCGAAAGTTTGCCGGGAATTCTTACCTCCTCTCACTGTTTTCCGAGATGCTCATCCCCTACGAGTCGTTGGAGAAACAGAGCGCCCTTGTTTCGAGAGAGTTTAACCGCGTTTGTCCAGGATTCAGCGACATACAAACTTCTTGCCTCCAGTTTCAGTAAGAAAATCCGGGATAGAACTTTCCCCTAGTTGGGGTGGATCTGATTATTTATCTTAACTATCAGATCGTCCGAGACTCGAATCGACTCCTGTTACTTTATTGGAGGGGACAAACCTCATCAATTTCATATCATCGTACAGCAAATCGCTAACTTTCTATCGCAATCTACTAATCAATACGTTCCACCTGATAACACAGTGCCTTCGAGAAGATAAATTATGTTGGCAAAAAATAATATGGATGCAGACAAATAGAGTGGGCGAAAAAAGAATTTCAATTAACCGAATGTATGAAATTGTCAACAGATGCCAGAGATGGTAACGGAGGATACATCACTCCTGAGTATGGCACATTTTGAGGATCTGATGGAAGATGACACGGGTGGTCCAGTCCACGGTGGGGATCCAATGCTGTCATCACCGCATCTACCACCCCTGAGCCCACCAGCCCCAGCCTGTCACCATCCCCTAGTCGACGAGGACACACTCGGTAGTTTAGCCCCAACAACGTCAAATTCATCCTCAGACATGGACATTGTTGCATAGCCACGAGCCCCAATTCTTGCATACATACGTGGACACGTATCACGACCACCAGAATGTACCAGTGACGTCGGAATGGATCTCTTTGGTTACCTGGGAATAGTCGATGTACCGTGAGGAAAACCATTAAGTCATGTACGAGTGTGTGCAACCACTCAACTACTTTGAAATTCTTCTCTAGCAGACTGGGAGTAGTGATTTAATCGTAGTTTGAATCGATGCATCTGCTAAATCACGAGATGGTTTTATGGGGATGGGGTTCAGGGTGTAACGGAGGGGGAGGGCTGGGGGGTGGGGGGGATTAAAGGGGAGGAATATCCAGTGAATTGGAAATAGTCCATTCGGACTGGAGGCGAAATGCCGAGAGGGATAAGAGGGTTTCAAGAGTGACTCTCCAAGCGAATTGGTGATTTGGTCTCACTTATATTGCTTCCTCAGGACTCGGGAATTGAATTTTCTTGAATTTCTAAAATATATCGTCAAGCACTTGACCCTATTTCACCAACAGCCAGTGTAAATCAATGCAAGAGGTTTTGGTGAATAATTTGACGCGCTGGACGTGTCGTTTATGATTTAGGTAAATTTTTTAAGTGGTTAACGCAAGCTGACTGGTTTTCATGGCGTGGATTTGAGTTTCTGTGTGTTAATCTCGTGTTGGTGAATTCACTTTGAGGAGAAAAAGGAAAATGGTGGGTTATGGGGGAGAGGAAGAGGTCTAATAGGCGAGATATACAGTGGGCGATAAATTCCGAGGTATTTTAAGAGCAGTAAATGTTATTGCTGTGAGGAAACAGGGAACGATGGAGAGGTAGAGAGAAAAGAAGTTTTATGAGAAATTACATTTCGACATTTGCATTTTAGAAATGTTAGGGTAAATTCAACTCAGTCTTCCGAATTACTGGGCAAAGATTGTTTTCACTGTTTGAATTATTTTTAACATTTCATTTTCATCACTGAAACGATTTCTCCAATGGGTTAAAACGTATGTGGTACATAGCCTCGTGTATTAAATTAATAATTCATGCGTTGTATTCCTACGATACTATTGACTTGGGGAATTGAGGCCGATTACGCGTTTCAATGCTCGTCATGCAGTCGCATACGTACGCGTGGATCGACGTATTCTCTTCGTGTTTCAATCTCAGAGGGAAATAAATTTGATGAATAAACTCGTCTGGGGTATACGTAGAATTGTACATTATTTCATCCTGTGGCATTGATTCTGAGTAGAAAATCAGAAAGACTACGTAAGGAGCAAAACTAAATTGAAAAGAAAGCAACTTCATTCGTAATGCTGATACACGGAGAGAAAAATACTGGAAAAGTACGCGGAAAATTGCGCATCCAATTCGGAAAACGTACTATATGGGTAGGAAAATTTACGAATCAGTCCCGTAAAATTTACTGCACCGTTTTTTTTTTCAAGTGAAATTTCCATTCACGATCTCTGACATGTCAGGCAAAAATCTTACCCATACGCTAGAGGTTTGTTATTGTTATCGTGTTGATCATTATTGTTATCTATCGATGAATCAACACGACTGTCGAGGCCACATCTTTAGAACCGTCAACAGTACGTTCTAGTCACGTAAAATTTACGTGAAATTGAATAATCTTTACGTTCTTTAACGTACTTCTTACTTCAAACTCTCTAGGTTGTACGGGTTCGACAAAAAAGACGCGACAGTAAATTTTCTCGAGCAAACAATAAAATTTACTGACTGTCTCTAATTTTTTCTCGCGAATTTAAGATAAAATGACTGAAATCATTCGTCAGTCATTACGTGACTAGGCGCGAAATTTTTCCTGTATTTCCCTCTCCGTATAGTCACATTCATTTGCATTTGCATTTAATTTATGGTCAATGATATGGCACAATTGAAAAATGAACAATAGCAAAGAACAAGACGAGCACAAAAGGAACACTTTTATCAGGACCGAATGATACATCAGCCTTGTGTACTTCATCCCCAGACAACAGAATATTCGTCAAAATGTCAGAGAAAAAACCGAGAGAAATAACAGGTGCAATAATAGAACATTGAATGAAGATAACTCAATGAAATTATCAATTTTCCATTAATGTATTTAGCTGTATAGTCTAGATATTTCGAAGTATTTTAGGTGAATTATCATGCCTCTCACCTTGAAAACTCATTTTAATGTAAATATTACGGTATTTTTAAGTGTAAAGATAAGTTCCCAGTGGAGTAAAGCCACACATCGCATTGTAGACTTTTGAAATTTGTATATGTGAGGCATTCGTCTACGAAAATGTCTTCAATCTTTTCTCCCCTCCGTCCCGAGGGGCGAAGAAACTGGGGAGAAATAATGCCCATTCACCTACGTGCCGCGAGTACGTAAATACAGTGACTGGTGTGAGAAACGTTAAAGTTGTTGTTTTATTTTTCATTAGTTTAAAATACAACCATTCATTTCCCCGAGACAAAATGGGAGATGAATTGAATTATCGTATTGTTAATGCCTAATGTTGATTATATCATATATTTTATTATGAAAAATGTGACTTGAGTATCAGGTACTCTTGTCCCATGAACAAAAATTGTTACCGAATTGTATCGCAGTGGATCAGCGATGAGATTAAATGCCTGGGCATCAGGAAAAAAGGAGTAACGTTACCAAAAAAAAAAGCTTGAGAGAACAAAAATTGAGTCTTTCTTTTTTATCCCTTCGAATCTTCATGTATCCCTCCGACGTTCAATTTTTCCACTCCAATATCAAATGGGTTTTGAGTGGAAATTCCCCTGCAGCTATAATCTCGTCTTTCAACGGTGTATAACGAGACGATCAGGAAACGGAAATGCAATTTACCGTATCGTCGAAGCGAAATGGCTTTGCTGTGCATTTTTTTTTGGATTCAGCTTTGCCCAGTTGGATTTCTCTTCATGATTTAGCTAGACTTTACGAGGATTTTCCACAGCTCCAGGTTCATATGGACGCATTTAGAAGGCAATTATGGGCATTTGAAAGGGTCAATTGCCCAGCGTTAGTGAAAATTAGGGCTTTTGAAAATTTCATATTTATGTAATTAGTAAGTGCACGGAGTAAATAGATAACACCTGAATTACTGCGGTTGTAATGATCAATCTATCGTTCGGAACAATGCACTGTGGATTTTCATGATAATTCCCTTGTCTCTGAAGTGCATTTCCGGTGTAATCACCCAATGGATAATTAATTGGAGCTTTGTTCTTTACTGCAGTCCTACGCAAAGGGATGTTGGACTTTTGGGCTTTCCCTTTATCCAGTTTAATTTTTATGTTAGAGCTAGAGATTCTACTGGTAGAGACAAAGCATTCAGTCGAGAATTGTGGGACTGCGTAAATGCATGAGTGCATGTTAAAATGTCACCATCAGGATGAAGGGATGCCAAACTGTGCCTCAGGCAAATTCAATAATAATTTTCTATGTGAAATGAATTAATAGTGCAATTGCCCATTAACCCATGAATAGAAGTTTTTTTCTTTCCTCCGACCAAGGAATTAAAGCTCTGCCCAGTTCAATTTTTGTACATGAATCAGCTGAAGTTTAATGGGATTTTCCAGGTCCATGGATGGAATGGTGGCACTTCGAAGAAGCTAGTTAACTACGTTCAACAAGTTGAACAAATGTAACGAGCAAATAATTCGAGTAAGTGGATGTTATCGGAATGGCAGAGTAATATTTACTGTGATTATCGATTAGATTACCAATTTGGTTGAACAGTTAGGGATCAGTCGATGAAAATTCCGTGAGTCTTACTGAAAAATCTTGTTGAAAATTTTTAGTGCATCACCTTGGAGAGTAAAAAATGCAGTAGCCTTTTTTTTTTCTCATTCTGCTGAGAAAATTCTCACCACATGACCTCTATTCCCTGCCTCCCTGGCACGTAGCAACCAACAACCCGACATCGTCGTATAATGGATCGCTTCAATTTACACGTCGACCCCTCACTGACACCCGCGGCGTGTCTCGACATGTTGCCCCTTTTCACGTTACCCAGGGCTCTAAGAGAGATCGGAGGAGGAATAAAAAATATATGAAGAAAATGAAGGGAACCGAAAAATATGAGCTGGAAAAATTGCTTCTCGCTAATGTGAAAAGAGGCAACAAGTTTAGTAGGTCAACCATGACACGTAATGTAACATGAAACAAATTACTTCATTTTGGAAATGCTGTCTTGTGTTGGGGATGAATTTACCTGCATTTGTCAGAAAATTTTCCCTCGATTCATCGGCATTTTTCACGCCAGGGAACTTAACTGCTGCATTTGTCCATCGGTTTATTTTCTGTTTATGATTATTTTTTATAACGCGGCATATGTAGCAGAAATCGAGGTTTCCTTCAAGTATTTAATGTTTAGTAATAAAAAATGATGACATTTTTGATGGGATAATGCAGGCGAAAGAATTGAAATTCTAGGATTGTTTTTGAATTTTTAAAATTTCAATTACATCACTTTGAATTGATTAAAAAAATTCAAAACGGCTGTTAATTTTCATGTTTTTGTTGAAAATTCAGGGAAATTATTGCTTGAACCTTCACCTTTCTCGTGACTTTTCAGTGATGATTTTAAAAAATGTGCAGAAATTCCACGTGAATTTGTCATTCTAGAAAAATCTAATTGCGTTCACTTAGAATTTCAAGCGTAATTTTCGAACGATATACCGTGCGTGATATCAAAGGATATTTCTGAAACTCTTTGATTATGATCGGTGCACTCATCAGTATTAATCACCGAGGCCGAATGAATTTTCGGAATTCGGTGGATTTGGCCAATGGAATGGCCGGGATGTGATTTCGCTTGCGTGTCGCGTAAATCCGACTATGTATATGCCGTAAACCACCGGCCGCAGTTTCAATACATCCAAACGTACCCCAAAGCTCCACCGAATGGGGGATGAAAGGGTGAGAGAGAGAAATTCGAGGGTGAGAGGAAGATGGGACTAGGTCGCGTGGCACTGCAGAATTACACAACTCTTGCGGTGAAGAGAAGAAAACGCAATGCCATTCCTCAGCACATACGTATCACTGATAATGTTCGCGGCAAGTAGTCGAGAGGGAAAATACGAGGGGAGGCAAAATGGGATGTGAGACCTTAATGGGGTGCACGAGCTTTCCACTGCCAAAACCTCGTGGTGCAGGAAGGCCTCCCTTTGGAGTTCACCGAATCCAGATGGTGAAACCCATGCATCGGAGGAGGAGAGTGTTCTTCTCAGTGTGGGGTAGTCAGACTCCTCTGAATTCCTTTCATCTCTAC